ATCATCATCATCATCATCATCATCCCACTGTCGCGGTGGTGCATAGCCAGCGCGCCAAGCCTTCAAGGTCGCACAGGACGCTTCGCCGACTGGTCGGGAGGGGGGGGTGAATGGAAGAGTTTGGGCACCTCCTGCCCGTGACAAAGATGGCGGGACCCCGTGGCCTCGCCCGGCCCTGGCAGCGCGGCCGGCCTGCCCTCTTCCAAGATGGCGTCCCCCTAGCCCCGCCCCCTTGGCCCGCAACAGCTGGGGAGTGGGGCCAGGAAGGGGGGGGCGCGCAGAGAGGCCTGTCTGCTCTCTCTCTCTCGCTGCCCTTCCCGGACTTTGCCCCCCCCGGGCAGGCAGGTCTTCCCTGTGGGCACCGAGCGGGGCAAAGGGGCAAAGGGGGCAAAAGGCAGAGCCATGCTGGCCTGGGCGGCGAGGACGATGGTGAGTAGCCTGAGGCTGGCACCCTAAGGCTTTGCCTGGCTTTTCTGGAGCGCGGGGGGGTTATTTGGGGGTGGGGAATAGGACAGGTGGCATTTGGGGTCCCTTGCAAGGACAAAAAAAAGGGGGGGAGATGGGTCCTATCCTGCTTTTGCAAAAAAAAAATGGTGCCGAAGCGTGCAGTGTAGCCCCGAAGTTTGCTAAGGTTCCAATCTGTGTGTGTGTGTTTGTGTGTGTGTGTAAACACTCCCAAATATCTCTTACTTACGCACGCGCGCACACACACACACACACAACTGGACACACAAACACACACACACATTGCTGGACCGATGGACAGACACACACACTACTGGACACACAAACACACACATACACACAAACACTGCTGGACGGACACACATACACACACTGCATTCTGGGGGTCGTGGTGCCCCCATGAAAATAATTCACATTTTTAAATGGATGTTCTTGATAGGGGGCCTCTCTTCCCCCCCCCATAAGGGGAGACCCCTGGCTGGAGCGGAGGGGGGGGAGGAAAATAAATGCAATTAATTCCCTTTCTTAGGCACAAGGGATCCAAGGGGGCTCACCGGCCGCTAGAACGGCACCGGCGATCAAAGTTTTTTTAAAAAATCAAGGTGTTGTCGTTTGTGGGTGAAGACAACTTGGGTGTGGACGCTGACGAAACCAAAATAAACACGGGCACCTTAAAGGCTGGCTTTAAATTCCAGTGTGACCTTTTGGGGAGAAATCCACTGCCTCAAACCCAAGAGAGGGAGGCGATCCGAAAGGGAGGGGACCGTATCGTTATTGACTCAAATAATTAATTGCAATGTGGATGGCTTGTGTTTCCTGGTTTAAATGAACAGTTTCGTTCTTGCTGCGAGGTGCGAAGACAGCCACAGGTGCCTCCTAAACTTAACTTGTGTAAATAGACATCTCTTGCGTAAGTTTACCCTTAAACGTATCTCGTCCCTTATCTTCTTTTGTTTCCTTTCTCTGGGTTTCCGGACACAGCCAGAAACACAGTTTCACTGTTCGATTTTGGAAAGTTAAGGATTCTTGTTATAAGGCAGACTTATTTGTATTCTCGAAGGCTTGTTTAGACTTATTGACTTACTTATTTTAAATATTCGTATGCCGCCTTTCTCCCCAAAAGGACTTCAAAGCGAGACCCAACGTTACAAAAAAAAAAAAATTCTGGTCGTTTCATCTTTCGAAGGATTGTTAGCATTTTTTTAAAAAAAATTTTTTGATATGTGAATCTGCGGATACAGATCCCGCGGATACAGGGATCCTATGGTACATGCTCCCCTTTTTCTCTGTTTTATCCTCCCAACGCCCGGTCGAGCCAAGGTGGGGTTGGCGACTGGGTGAAATCGAGTTTTTCCCACGTCCACCTCCGTCCTACCGTTTCCGGTCACGGATTCTCCATCGTGGCTTCGGGAAGAACGCTTTCGTTCCTGAGCGTGGTTTATTTCGGTTGCAGGCGAGGCCATCGGGGATGCTGAAGCCGGTGGCGCTGAGGAAGCTGACGGGCAGGTACCTGGCCCACCAGCAGGAACTGCCCGCTCTCCCCGTCCCACCTCTCCAGCAGACCCTGGATCACTATCTTTTGGCCCTGCAGCCCATCATCAGCGAGGAGGAGCTGAGCCACACCAGGGCGCTGGTGGAAGAGTTTCGGAAGCCGGGCGGCGTCGGGGAACGGCTGCAGAAAGGCTTGGAGAGGAGAGCCCGGAAGCAGGAGAACTGGGTAAGGGGCTTCCCGAGGAAGAGCGGTGGGGGGTGTGTGTGTGTGTGTGTGTGTCAAACCTCGGAAGGGGGCTGTGGCCACGGCCTGCTTCGGCTAATGGCCCTCTCCGTGTTTTCATCCGAGCTCTCAGACTGGTGGCTGAAGACTGCGTACCTGGAGTATCGCCTGCCCGTGGTGGTGCATTCTAGCCCGGGGGTCGTCTTGCCCAAACAGGACTTCCAAGATCGACAAGGGCAGCTGAGGTAAAGCCGGGGTCAGCTGAATCACTGTTCAGATTTGCTGCATCCATTAGGACCCTCTGTTGGATCGGTTCCAACCCTCCCCCAGCGGATGCTGAAAAACGTGGATAATAGTGAACACTAACAGCAAACACCACAGAGCCATGCAATGCCTCGCGTTTGAATTTTGTTACTGCTTAATTATGACATCTCATCTTATTCAGTTATTAAAATTAAAACTTGAACACTAACAGCAAACACCAGAGAGCCATGCAATGCCTCACATTTGACGCTTCTGCTTTTTCCAGCATCCGCAGGGTGGGCGGACTTCAAACCGATTCCCTACAGAGACCCGTTTTTTGCCGGTACCTGTTATTAAACAGAAATCATTTGGCATTGTGGGTTTGTCGTGTGTATGGCGAGGCCTCGTCTAAAGTCCTGCGTCCAGTTCTAGACACCACACTTTTTTTTTTTAAGAAGGAGGCCAACCGACGGGAGCGAGTTCGGAAGAGGGCGACAAGGACGAGGAGGACCAGGGGAATGGAAACCAAGACTTATAAGGAGGAAAGACGGAAAGAACTGGGCGGGTTTAGCCTTGAGAAAAGAAGACGGGGAGGGGAGATAATAGGATATCACCCTTCAAATCCTTGAAAGGTGGAGTTGCAGGATCTGTCCTCCGTCCTCCCAGAGTGCAGGGCCCGTCATCCTTCTGTCCTCCGTCCTCCCAGAGTGCAGGATCCGTCATCCTGGGCTCAAGTCACAGGAAGCCAGGTTTCGGCTGAATCTCCGGAAAAAAAACTTCTCCACTGTTAGAGCAGTACGACATGACCTTGGGAGGCGTTGAGCGCTCCAGCGCAGGAGAACCTCGGACCCCCTTCTTCCCGATCTGCTTTGATTTGGATTCTTGCCTTGAGCAGAGGGTGGGACCGGATGGCTTTAGATTCTGTGTTTCTACGAAAGGTGCAAAGATTAAAAACAGTGACTGAGCAAAACGGGGCGAAGGGGTAACGGGCGAGGGCGATACGGCAAGAGATCGATCTTTCTCCCCGGTCTCGCTCGATCAATGTGCTGGGAGTTACAAAACCAGCGCCCTGACCTCTGTACAGGATTCCCTCCTGCACACGTGCTCGGCCACCTCCCGCGCGCCCGTTCCTCTCTCTTGCAGCCGGGCGTATAAAAATACCAGCCAATCCACTGAAAGACCAAGAAGGGTGTTGGAACAGAAGAATTTCACCCCCGTCTTTGCAATCACACTGCGAGGTTCTAGGCTTGCCGACTCCGATCCAGCGCTGAATCGGCACCCGGACCTATTTGATGTGACGGAATTTTATTTTATTGGGGCTGGTCATTCATTGACACCCCCCTCCTCAGGAATCTCTGCATGGAAGCAGGGAGAGAAAAATGCAAGAGGAATGTATAGGATGTATAGTGTTACGGTTATTTATATTGTTGATATTGTTAGGGGAAGAATATTCCATTTTTTAAGAACAGTGGGACCTCCGTATCCTCAAGGGATCGTTCCCACCTCCCAGTAGATGCTGAAAAATGCGGATCATAGCGAACGGAAAAAGAATCAGAAGCAATAGGAATCTCTGCATGGAAGCAGGGAGAGAAAAATGCAAGAGGAATGTATAGGATGTATAGTGTTACGGTTATTTATATTGTTGATATTGTTAGGGGAAGAATATTCCATTTTTTAAGAACAGTGGGACCTCCGTATCCTCAAGGGATCGTTCCCACCTCCCAGTAGATGCTGAAAAACGCAGATCATAGCAAACGGAAAAAGAATCGGAAGCAATCCAGTTGGAAAGTTAAATTATTTTGCAGGAAACATGCTTAGAAGGTTGCAACAAGCAGTGTGTTGTGTGCATGTTTCATGGGGGAGCCTGGATGCTCCACCTCTGTGTGAAATGGCCCAGCCCAGAAAAAAAAAGTGTGGTTTTTGATTAACTGAATGTTTAAATTGGCCCTCGTTTCCACCCAGGCTGGAATTACTCGTTTGCATCAAAAACCCCGCAGCCCAGATGTTTCGTGGGGGTTAACTGCAAGGACGTACAAACCTGTTTACAACACGGGTCCACTTTAATGGGATTCCCTTGCGTCGAAACAACCGGGGAATTGGGTCCCGGAAGGCCTGAGGGGGGGCTCTCACCGATCGGGCGACTCCGAAGCCCCTGCTCCCCTCTCAGGGGGTGGGTTCCCCAAAAGCCTTCTGCTTGGGGAGCTTTCCGAAGAGGTGTCGAAAGCCGGCTCGAAAGCCCTACTGCAGTTTTTAAAAATACAGATCGGGCACCGTTCTTTAAACTGCAAAAACGTTGCTGAGAATTCCCGCCTGGATTTTCCAGAGGGTGTCGTTTTTGTCCCTGTTTTGGAATGCACAAAGGGAAGGCCTTTTTATTCGGTTGACATGATGTGTGAAACTGAAGCTAGCCGTTGGGGGGCATTTCAGCTTTTACCCCATTTCCTTGTGGTTTCCTTTGTTCTCAGGGGGTGGGTTCCCCAAAAGCCTTCCTTTCTATTTCAATTTATTTTTATTTTTATTTTATTTTCTGCAGATTTGCGGCGAAGCTGATCGAAGGTATTTTAATTTAATTTAATTTTTTTAAAAAATTTATTTTCTGCAGATTTGCAGCGAAGCTGATCGAAGGCGCTTTGGACTTCAAGACCATGATCGACAAGTGAGTCTGGAGCACTTCCTAGTTCCAAGTTGGGCTCCTTCATCATTAAAGAGAGGGTCGTACAGCTCAGTGGGTTGGAGCGCCTGGCTGCGGAGCCGGGCCAGGGGCCGGGTGTTTGGATTCCTGCCGTGCATCATAGCAGAGGGATCAGGCATGTGCAGCCACTGAGATTCTGAACAGCACAACCTTATAATTTTCACAACAAGGCGGCTCCCTCTATCCGCGGGATCGGTATCCACTGATTCACTTCTGCACTCTTAAAAACACTAAATAAATTTTTTTAAAAAACAGGGTATATTGACCAGAACTCATTACTAGCAGGAGCCAGAGACCATGCAATGTAGAACATTTAATCCTTCCGCATTTTTGGTCATCTGTTTGGGGGGGGCTTGGAACCAACCCCTTGTGAATACCACAGTCCATACTGAAACCGTCCCGTCCTGAATGTTTGTTGCCCAGTGAGACGCTTCCGGTGGAATATCTCGGCGGAAAACCCCTCTGCATGAACCAGTACTACCAAATTCTCTCCTCCTGCCGCATTCCGGGCCCCAAACGAGATTCCGTTGTGAATTACGCCAGAGGAAAGAAGCCTCCGACGCACATCACAGTGGTCCACAATTTCCAGGTACAGTGGCTGGCTTGGAAGCTGGCTCTGGGGGGTCATCATGAGGCCGCCCTCGGTGTGTTCTTGATTCTGCACCCCCCCATTTCCGCCTGGAGCAAAGGTCTTATTTTTAACCACCGAAAGTGCAGACAAGCGAGGATAAATAGGCTTTGAGTCCAGACACTTTGCTTCCAAACCATGGGCTGTTTTTTTAATTTGGAAAGAACTCTGAGGACTGGTCCAAGAGTGGGCAGAGTTAAGGGTAGGGGGCCGGGCCAAAGCAAAAGAACGCAGAGCCAGAGGTAGCTGTTGGAGTTATAGCAACCTCGTATGCTGCCTTTAGGAGGTATGTTTGGAGTTACAGCAACCTCGTATGCTGCCTTTAGGAGGTGTGGTTAGGAGGGACCTTTCTGGATTGGGCTGACGGCCCGTCAATCCAGCAATAATCAAGTGTTCTTTCCTCCAAATTTAAAGAGACCCCCCCCACCTCTTGAGTCACAAGCCCTGATCGCTCTGTTTCCCCACTCTTCCTCCCCCTCCTGCCCTTCTCCAGTTTTTTGAACTGGACGTTTACGCCAGCGATGGGACCCCGTTGACCACGGATCAGATTTTTATCCAGCTGGAGAAGATCTGGAACACCTCGCTTCAAACCAACAAGGAGCCCATCGGCATCTTGACCACCAACCATCGCAACAGCTGGGCCCACGCCTATAACAACCTCATCAAAGGTCTGTCTCTGCTCCGCTAAAACGGTACCAACATTCCCCCAGTCCGTGAAAAACCGGTGGATTGTCTCTTCTTAAAGATTTCTATTGGCACCAAGCATTCTTCCAGCCTTTAACAGCAAAAAAAATAATAATCTCTGGACTCTGGAACTCCTTGCCACTGGAAGTCAGTCTGGCTTCGTAGCCAAGACCTTTCTCTTCAGGCCAGCTTCCCCTCCGTGACCGGCTGCTTGAGTGGGTTGTTTTAATTGCTTGTTATGCCTTTACTGCTTCGAATCTGTTTTGGGTTTGCTTATAATGTTTGTATGGTCTTTGATCCTTTTCAGTATTTGAATACTCCCCGTCGTTGGCTTTAATATTGTCTTTTAATGACGAAAGCTGTCCTTTTAAGGAGAAAGGCGGATGGAAAAGACCTTAAATAAATAAAAAAAGATTTCCCTTCCCTCCCCAGACAAAACCAACAAGGAGTCTGTGCGTTCAATCGAAAAGAGCATCTTCACTGTCTGCCTGGATGCCCCGATCCCTCGGGTCTCCGATGACATCTACCGGAGCCGGGTGGCGGCCCAGATGTTGCACGGCGGAGGAAGTCGATGGAACAGCGGAAATCGGTGGTTTGATAAAACCCTACAGGTGAGGGAGGCGTGGAAGAGGAAATTACTGTACAGTAGAACCCGTGTATCTATGGGGGATCAGTTCCAAGGCTCCGTCACAGATGCTGAAAAAACGTGGATTATAGCAAACAATGTTTTAATAGCATACATTATACATAGTGTAGTCTCTGTCTCCCCCTAGTGTCCGGTTCTGATAATGACATTGATTTTTTTCTAGTGAATGCTCTGCAGCGCATGGTCTCTGTCTCCCCCTAGTGGCTGGTTCTGGTAATGGCATTGTGGAAATATATTTCTCTAGGCAACACTGTACTTAATAAGCACTGGGGGGGTTTCAATTTGAGCCTTGAAATTCGCTGCTGCCCACAGAGCTCTCCAGAAAAGAATGCTAGCGACGCACAGTCCATTTTCAGCAGTGGCACATCCAGCTTCGGCACTGAGATTTGTTGCTTAGGGTGTTTCGCCCATGCCGACTTCCCTCTGATGGCCTCCAATCTCCTTACAGTTTATAGTGGCCGAGGATGGCTCCTGTGGGTTGGTGTACGAACATGCGCCTGCGGAAGGCCCCCCCATCGTCGCCCTTCTGGATCATGTGGTGGAATACACGTAAGGCTCGGCCTTTTTCCCCCCCGGAAAAATCGAATTTAATATTTTCAGAATGTGGATAAGGGAATCAGCGGGTACGGATCCCGCGGATAGGAGGGACCTTAACTGTATTCAGAAATAGGCTGTTTTCTGCAGCCTTGTTGAGCCTGTGGCTTTCATTACTGAAGCCACCACCCTCGGTATTTCTTTCACGGTACGGTTTCCATCCCTTGCTAGAAAGAAACCGGAGCTTGTGAGGACCCCCATGGTCCCTTTGCCCATGCCGAAGAAACTGCGGTTCAACATCACGCCGGAGATCAAGGATGACATCGAGAAGGCGAAACGGAACTTGAATATGTGAGTCCGGCAGGGGTTGGGGGAGGGCGGGGAGACACTCTATAAATGGGGGGGAACCGCACAGCTTCGAAAGGAAGAGGTGAGTGTTTTAAGAAGTCCATGTCCAGGCAGTGTGGAGGTTGGGACAGAGTCTCCTAGTCCTGGCTTCCATTTTGTTAAGATTAAATGCATGGCAGTTGGAGGAAGCAAATCAAGCTTGTAGTGCCGTCGCTTCTGTACGGTGACAGAGGAGGACGTCTTGAATTACAAATTCCCAGGTCTCAGCAAATATCTAGATCAAGACGTATACAGTAGCCCTCCCCTCCGTATCCACAGGGATCGGTTCCACGCTTCCTTCCCCGTGGATGCTGAAAAATACGGATAATGGCAAACGCTATTTTAAGAGTGAACGCGATACACCATATGCTCTCTGTCTCCCTCTAGTGGCCAGTTCTGGTAACGTCACCATTAGAAATCTGTTTTTTTCCTTTGTTTTTAAGATTTTCAGACCACGGAGAAAGGGATCACCAGATACTGATTCCGCTGATCAGGGGGGTCCTGTTGTTTGGAGAGGAGGATATACAGAAAGAGGTGGAAAGGTTTCAAGACTTGATAGGAGGGTGTAGTGGGAAATCTGAAAAGTTTTTGTCTGAGAAAGCAAAGGGAGATAAATTTACACACACACGCTTCTGCCGAAACCCTAAGGCTTTGGCCTATACACCCTTCAAGGTACGACATCCCTCTTTTTCCTTCCGTAGCATGGTGCAGGACTTAGACATCTCGGCCATCGTCTTCCACCACTTTGGAAAGAACTTCCCCAAGTCTCAGAAGATCAGTCCGGACGCTTTTATCCAGATAGCTCTGCAGCTGGCATATTACAGGTAAGCCTGGTTTTTGTCTCCCTCTTGTGGCCGCGTCTGGGAATGACATCGTGGAAGTAGATGCTATCCGTCGCTGGTCTCTGGCTCCCTCTAGGGAACAGTTCTGGGAACTTCATTGTTACAAATATCTATATTTTGGAGTGTATTTCCAGATCGTGGATAAGTGAATCAGTGGTTACTGATCCCATGGATAAGGGGGTCCCATTGCATTCTAAAAATAGTTTTAATGCTAGTTTTTTTAAAAAACTGAAGGCTGTGCAGAACACCTTATGGGAAGAAACTCCATGAACAAACGCAGCGTTGAATTATACTAAAATGGGTTGATTGGGTTTTACAACTGTTCCAGAAATCCTTTGTCATCTACAAGGTGTACGTTCCATCTCTCCTCTCCCCCTGCTTGATCCTCCCTCCTCCTCACAGGATGTACAAGGAGGCCTGCGCTACTTACGAGAGCGCCTCGCTACGGATGTTCAGACTGGGCCGGACAGACACGATCCGCTCGGCTTCTGTGGATTCCTTGAAGTTCACGAAGGCCATGGATGACACTGGCAAGCCGGTGAGGGGGGGATGGGGTAAAGCCGAGCTTTAAACACACCCTGGAAATACACACGAAAAGGTATTTCTAAGGGTTTCAAAAAGTATTTTCAGACCATTGGATACCGATCCCGCGGATACGGGAGTCCTGCGGTAAACATTTGCCAATAAGTAGAACTCTAAAGAAAGGCTCTTGATGGCGCAACAGTCTAAAGGAACAGAAACCCGGCTGTTGAAATGTCGTTTGGTTGTAAACATGTTTTTCTGTTCGTCTTAGGACCCGGAGAAAGCCGAACTTCTGCGGAGAGCTACCCAAGCGCATCGGGCCTACACCGACCTGGTGAGTTTTGCTTTCCCGAATCCATGTGCGGAAAGAAAGTCTCCAGATCTCCAGGCTGATGTGGAATTAGTTCTTAGCAGGGCGCAGTTGGACCGTTGGATCATGGGATAAAAACAACAACAATATTTTGTTATTGTACCAGTTATCGTTGTAGCGGTGGTAACCTTCTTTTTCTAATATTACCCCAACACCGTTGTTGTTTTAAAAATTTATTGGAAAAGGGGGAAATCCATGTAAGGATGTTAGAAGGCGCTGAGCAGGATACAACATCAAGGACCAGAAAAAAAACGGCCATTCGTGAGGGTTCGTTGCTGTTCGCGAAAAGCGAATCCCGAGCTTTTACGAACTTTCTGACGAAACGAACCGTTTCGTGGTTCGTGCCGTCCGAGATTGCTAGGAGAGATAGACTCTCCCACCGCACGAGTTAGAGACGCTAAACCCACAGCGAGTCTGGCTAAAGAACGCATTCCTAGGAGGCACATGCTTTGGGGGGGGGGCTGTAACTCGGACGCCCGAAAAAATCCCTCGTTAAGGGAACGAATTATTTTTGCGCCCGGCTTAGTGCTGATTTCCACCGGTGGTTTTTTTGGGGGGACCCAGGGAGTAAAACAACCGCTTCCTTTTGGGAAGGAAAGCACCGCCAGGGCGAGAATGCTTTTTGTTATTCAGTCGCCACCGTTTTGTGATTCAGCCGCTCTTCTCCTCTCCAGGCAATTACGGGAAACGCCATTGACCGCCATCTCCTGGGCCTGAAGCTGCAAGCCATCCAGGACCTGGTGAGCATGCCCGAGCTCTTCATGGATACCGCCTACGCCGTGGCCATGCACTTCAACCTGTCCACGAGTCAGGTAAAATGGGGGGCGGAGTCATTCAAGAGATGCGAGGGGTTCCACGAATCTTTGCAAGGAGGGCCGGGCGTGAGCGAATGAAATTGAGGTCAAAACCCAGTTGCTTGAGAGCCCTGAGGTTGTACAGGCCTGCGCGGCACGGGGCTTGCAGTTGGATGCCACGTTCGTTGAGACAGCTCCGTCCTGCCGAATGATGGGGTTTGTAGTCTGAAATGGGGATTGGAATGAACTGATAGAAAATCCGAACGCTGGGCTTCGGGAGAGCATGCGAGAGTTCTCCAGCAGACCGCCCAAGCTATAATTTGTTGGGAACGGCCCAGAGAGCATCTGCACTATGTCTTTCGCTGCTGGTTTTGTTGGCTACTCCTGGTGGGAGTCGTAGTCCGGCGTCTGTGCCGTTGGGAGTGGCAGAAACGCACGGTTCTTGGGATGGCCTGAAAAACAAGTCTCCAGCCAACGGTTTATAGTCTTGGCCAGAAAAAGCTAGAGAGCTCATCAAGGAGCTTCTGGGGGACCCCGATAAATGTCTGGGTTTTCTCCCGCTGGCCTTGTAGGTTCCGGCGAAGACCGACTGCGTCATGTGCTTCGGTCCGGTCGTCCCGGACGGCTACGGCGTTTGCTACAACCCGATGGCCGACCACATCAATTTCGCCATCTCGGCCTTCAACAGCTGCGCCGAAACCAACGCCGCCCGGATGGCTCACTACCTGCAGAAGGCGCTCCTGGACATGCGGCAACTGCTCCAGGAAAATCCGAAATCTAAACTTTAAGGGGAAGTCCGAGGCGGAAGCATTGTGGTTCCCTGCCACGTCCCTTCCGGGGCCCCGTTTTGGAATCCTTTTCGACGGTTCGGCAACCATCGGCAAGCACCTTATCGTGGCCGGGAACGGAGAACCGTCGCCTCCGGAATTCGGAAAGGGTCTCAGCGCTTTTCCCCATCGTGGTGCCGAGGGATACCCCACCACCGGAAGGAAACGATCCGCTCTCGGCCGCTGGTCAGCAACGTCAGACGAGCATCTTATCGTAGCCCGGAATAAGGAAGCGTTCTGTTTGCGTTTTTGCTGTGGAAGCCAGAATTTTTAACAATGTGTTTTTCCTCTTCCCACGGGCCGATGCCAGAGGCAGGGGAGTTAGGAGGAGGAGGAGTTTAAATGACAGTCGGACCCCTCCCTATCCGCGGGATCGGTGTCCCCGGGTTCACTTACTCGCCACTAAAAATACTAAATTAAAAAAAACCCAGGAAAACCTATTTATATATATATATTTCCAGGGTATATTTGCCAGAATTGGCCACTAGAGGAGGCCAAGGCGGTGCCATGTGTAGCGTCCCATATTTCCACATTTTCCAGCATCCGCAGGGATGCTTGGAGCCGATCCCCAGCGGATACTGTGGTCCGACTGTACTCTAAGCTTCCTCTAGGTTTTGCCAAATCCTTACCTTTCCTGTCTTTCGCCTTCGGGCCGCTCGGCCCAACAGTTCTGGGCCCATATTGGCATGCCTTGGGTTTCCCATCATTGCATCGCTTGGCGTGGCTTCCAAGCCAAGGGCGTCCGCTTGTTCTTCGGCTCTCTTTTCGGCGCCCGCCTGGATGGCAGAGTCCGTTTGCCTCCACCATGCTCGGTCTCTGCACTCTTTCTACACCTCGAGGCGCCTTAGCTCCCTGCTGTATCCCTCCAGTCTTTCCGGATGTGTCTGGAAAGCTCTCGCTGGCCACCAGTCACTAGAATTCTGTGGTTCAAGCTCTTCTGTGGTGGTTGTACAGATGCTCACTGACGACAGCTAACGATTGTTCAAGTCAAGCACTGTTGGCGTGAGTGGCTTGCGGTGTTTTTTTTTCTCTTCCTTTCGATGGCCCTGCTGTGTGTTTATAATTTGGAAGCCCCCATCTTGCCAACAGCCTTTGGTTTTTATTTTATTTCACGCTGGCAGCTTTCATACTCCGGTAGGGTCCCCATATCTGCGGGATTGGTATCCGCTGATCCACATATCTGCGGTCTGAAAATATTAAGAGAAACATCCTAGAAATATAGATTTCTAAATAAGTTAACAGAATTGGCCCCTAGAGGGAGACAAAGACATGTATAGCGTTCACTATTAAAATAATGTTTGCCATTATCCACGTTTTCCAGCATCCACAGGGGGCAGGGCTTGGTACCGATCCCCTACGGAGATACGGGTGTGTGTGTCCTACTGTATTGCCGATGTATCTGGTTTAACCAAATCTCATTATTAACCTGCCCTCTGTTTTAATTTCTAGTGCAGGGAGTTTTAGCGCTCCGCTCGCTGGTCTCCGTATCTGTGTGAGGGAGGGAATTAAATGAATGTAATTGCCTTAATTGCTTCAGGACCTCTCAGTTCTTGTCCAGTTGATTAAGGACTCTTCCCCCCCCATCGTTGCCATGTTACCTTTGAAAGCCAAAGCAGAGGAAGGAAATTTCACTAAATTTGTTTGCACTTTGAAAAAAATGTGAACAGATGGATAATACTGTATTTCCTCCCAAAGAGTGTTCTGTATGCAGGAAGTGGCTTTGAAAAAAATGTGAACAGATGGATAATATTTTCCCCCAAAGGGTGTTCTGTATGCAGGAAGTGGCTAAAGAGTAGACCTTTGGTCTAGATGGGCGGGATAGAAATCTAATAAATAAATAAAATAAAATAAAGCTTAAAAAGCTGGATTCATACCCTTAAAAGCTATGGCTTGCAACCGGCTGAAGCACCCTCAAGGTGTGCCAAATTAATTTAGATTTCTCTCACCCTCGCCTCTTCGTTCTTGGTATTATTGCATTTTCTGTCATGTCAATGTTTACCAGGTCACTCACGAGGGCCAGAAACTCTTCATCTTGTGGAAGCTGAAAGCAATTAAAACCCAACAACTAGGAAAGTGCCTTATCTTACCCAAGGGGGAAAGGGTGTTTTTTTATTTTAAGCGTGTAAACTGTTTACAATATATATTTGTGAGTAATATTTGAAATGCTGGGGGTTTAACCTCTGATTTTCCTATCGATCTTTTAAGAAAGATTGTGATGATCAAATTTGTGTTAAGGATTCCGATAAGCCACTACATACGCACTAGTTTTCCATATAAAAATATATAAATATATGGCATGTTAAAAGCATGAATAGAAAAATAGCTGTTCTGCTATTCTGCAGCGGCTTGCAGCTAGCTGACTAAGCTATTAAACACCCCTGCTTAATTAACAAGGGCGGCAACATTTTTGGATGTGTGTAAATTTGGGCTGCTCGTGGCGATGTGTTTGCAGATCTGCACGAATTGTAAACGATACTAAATCTTCTCGTGTTTTTGGATTAAAAAAAAATAATATATGAATGGGCTTTGGAAGATGCCGACATGCTGTGTTGTGGAATTTAACGCATTTAAGGAGGAACAGAGTCGGGGTGGTGGTTACAAGAATAAGGCTGTACAGATAGGTGGAACGGTAGCCTTACAACTTGCGCGCAAATCATTTTGTATAGGAGGTTTTGAAACTCTTAAGATTCAATGGGCCTACTCGAGTGGGATTTATCTGCACAGCTTGGAAGGGACCCTCGGGCCTCATCCAGTCCAGCCCGTCAAAGGAAAGAATCGAACTCCCAACCTAACCACGGAGCTACCGAGCCATTCACCGCCACTCCAAGCTTATCAGGGGAAGGATAGCTATAAATGTCACAAAGAAACCGGGAGGACATGACCATAAAAACTCTTTTATTGAGTATGTAAAAGGTTTGGGGTAGTGGGAAAGGGGAGGGGGGGAATCATTCTAAACCATTAAGAACATAGCAACGTCTTAACAGTGTGTTCTTTTAAGCTTTTTTTCCTTTTTTTTGCATTTTAACAAAAGTTTTCAGTAGTGTAGGTGGCTAATTAAGGGAGTGGAGCAAAATGGCCGTGGCGAAGAATGGACCGAATCGATGATCATATATTTTGAAATTTGATAAAGGGGGGGGAAAAGTGAAATCAAAGGGGTTCCTTATAAAGCAAACAGATGGGACAAGTTCTGGAATGAGCAAGTGGAAAGAAGAAGAAAAAAAACGGTTACGAAGTTAAACATTGTGGATTTCTGCCACTGTGTCGACACACCCATGCACACCCGTGCTCGCCTTCTGCTACCCCAGGCCCCCACTGTGTGTGTGCAATTAATTCACTAGGTGTTAAAAGCAACCCCTCCTAAGCAGCTTTTCTTAAAACTGATGCAAACTGCAGCTGGTCTTTGACCAAGATGCTTTGAACAGTCATGGAAAATTAACACAAATTTTTAAAAAAAGGCCGCTGGCCATATCCTGCTCTTCAGCCCCAGGCAAACCCACAGTCCGCTCAACGTTCCTGAGTGGAGATTTAACGAGTGACCGGCGCAACAGCACACATGATCCGACAGACACCCTCCGCTTCACCCCACCCCTTTTTGCAAAGAACAGATTGTTTTTTTTAAAAATAATAATAAATATTGTGTTATCTGGCATGCTGCAAAAAGGGAAAAAAATTCACTAGAAAAGAGTCACAGAACTATATATGGGTTCCTCCCCCCCGCCTCACACCGCCTCTTCGACTAGGCACTAGGGAAGTTCTCCAAGCACCCCCCCTTTTTCTCAGCCCCCCGACTTTAAAATTCACAGTTAAAGCCGAGGGGGCGCCGGCGGGTCATGCAGAATTCCCACTGAAACGGGTGGGTTGCCCGAGAGCGCCGGCGGGCTCGCCAGTAAGCCCACGTGCTTCAAGGGGACCTGGGCAAGAGAGATTCCCAGGAGATCCTTTCCAAAGTGAGTAAAAGTCTTTGCATCTAATATATATTAAAGGGAGGGGTTTTGTGGGGGTTTTTCCCCCCCTGTTCCTGTTCAAATCCTCAACATGCAGCAAGGTTTCATCCAGCGCGTTGGAAAAGGCCTCTGGGCTTCGGGGGGTGGTCCCTGTCCGGTCCTTTGGTCCGTCTCTTTAAAGGCTTCCTTGGCCTCGCTCCTAGCTCTGTACAGGTCATTTCATCTCCGCTCTGGCCCCTCTTCGCTTGACAGAATGACGCGGTCCAAGTCCTGAGCCTTACGGATTCACTGCAGCTTGGTGCCCAGTTTACGTTGTCGGTTCCTGCGGTGAAAGGGGGGGGGAAACACATTGGTGGAGATAAGCAGGGCTTATAAACTGCCCTCTCTGGGCTTCCAAGAGGGGTCACGGTTGGGGGGGGAAGAAGCACCTTGGCTTCAATGGAAAGGAACATCATTGGGGGGGGAAGATGGAACAAGACAAGAGTAAAGAAAGGAAAAGCCGTTTCCCCTGCTACCACCGCCTTGCTTCAGGGCTTCCGTCTCACCTGGCTTCTGCTCTGGTGACGGTGTATTCAAACCATAGGATGTTTGGAATGAGGCTAGCATCTCGGATTAAGAAGAATTCAGCCAACGGCCTAAAAACGGGGTGCAGAGCGATTAAGGAACTTGGTACACAAAGCATATGAATTCAGCTAACTTTCCATTTTGAGATCCCTGCCAAAAATAGACATGAACCCGGAAAACGGTCATTCGTGACGGTTCCCGGTTAGCCACGAACCAACCGGAAAAACCAAACAGATTCGCCATTCGGTTTCCGGCTTGTGCTCGGCGGGGGGGGGGAAGAGCTATTGTCAGCGGGCACGGACTTGACACAAACGAACCGCAAACCAGTTCGGGTGCTGGGGAGGGTTCACGATCGTTCATAGTTAGCCATGAACCATCACGAACCACTGTTTTTCTGGTTCGTCCACGACGAAAATCAAGGTTAAAACACCCCAAAAGCTGAGGAGGACTCACCAGGCCGCTATCCGTGGGAACAACGGGGTTAAGATCTCCTGCGTCAAGACGAACCACAGGACGGCCATGATGCTACCCACTGCTCCTCCGTACGCCACCTGGCTCCAGGTGTGGTAGAGCAGGTAGACCCTGGGGGCAGCAGGGAGGCAGGAATGTCAGGCTAAGAGGGGTGGTCAAGCCAGGGACCCCAAAGCAGCCACCAAAAGGGAAGCCACGTACCGGCTGTAGGAGACCAGAAAGGCCACGATCAAGAGGCAGAGGGACAGGACGTGTCTCCAGAGTAAATCCAGAAACCTGGCATTGTTGGTTTGGTGCATTCTGGGGGACAAAGAGATGGAACGGAGTTGGCAAGAGGGAAATCAAAACCGGCGTCCGGCCGGACCTATGGCAAACGGGATCTTAAAATTTAGCTACACTGGGAGCTGACTGAGGTCCAAACCCTGGGAGAAAGACAGGCTATGAAATAAAGAGCTACGTAAACAAGCCGCTTCTACAACATATTTTTCCCCTGCATGAGTTTCTGTGCAATGCAGAAAAACAAAAGAGGCAGGAACTTCTTTCTATACGGTTTTCAAGACATGAAATTGCAAAATAAGGATTTTAAGGAAACATCTTGAAAGTGACGCGTGAAACACGAATGCATTGCACTATGCCGAAATGCCAGAATTCTTCATGATTCTCTTGTTTAGGGTTAGAAAAACACTCTTCTTCTCTCAAAGCTTAAACCTGCTCCGTTCTTTCACTCTTTTCCTCCAAGGGCTCGGTTTCCAGCCCCCTGATCCTCCTCGCGGCCTTCCTCTCGACTTGCTCCACTCTGTCATCATCCTTCTTAAAGGGTGGTGTCTGGAACAGGCAACCCCCCCCAACCTGCCAATGCTGAAGGCAGAGCCATTTACCTTAAATAGAGGAAGAGGAAAGAGTAGACGGCAAAAAACCAGATGAACTGAGAATGGCTGGAAGGCATGGCGTACTTCGAATAAACCGACAGGTGGATTTCTGGGCCGGGAGGGAAGAAAGAAACACAGCGGTTAGTGGATGCAGCTTTGGCAAGAGACAGCAAAGACTCAAGCCCCCTCCTGTATCCGCTCGCTGTGGGAAATATGACTTTTCCCACCCTGATATCCCACGGATCAGAACGGGGGGTCATCTCAGCCACCGTGATGGCAGAAATGATGGATATTTCAGCACCGGAACCGCTGAAAAACACCAAAAAATGAAAGAGAATCCAATGGGTAAATTACGTATCTCCTGCCCCCACGGATACACATCGATGTCCCCACGGAGTTTGTGCCAACCCTCCCCTCCCACCTCTGTTGGAAGGCGATTGAGAACGGAAGCTACCTGAACCATTAAGACCCCCCCCTTTATCCACGGGATCGGTATCCACTCATTAACTTCTCCCTAGTCTGGAAATCTTGAAAATATTAAAAGAAAAATCCCCGGAATATACATGTCTAACAATGAAGTTTCCAGAACTGGCCAGTCGAGGTAGCCAGAGACCAGACTATGTGCAGCGTTCGCTATTAGAATGGCATTCTCTATAATCCATGTTTCTTAGCATCAGGAGAGGGGGCTTAGAAGTGATTCCCTGCGGATATGGGGGTCCTTTTATTTCTTATATTTATTAGTTTTATTTACATGCCACGTTTCTCCCAACAAGGGACCCAGATTTACAAAATTACTTTTTTTGTAATTCAGTTCTTTCACTCTTTTCCTCCAAGGGCTCGGTTTCCAGCCCCCTGATCCTCCTCGCGGCCTTCCTCTCGACTTGCTCCACTCTGTCATCATCCTTCTTAAAGGGTGGTGTCTGGAACAGGCAACCCCCCCCAACCTGCCAATGCTGAAGGCAGAGCCAATGCCACGTTTCTCCCAACAAGGGACCCAGATTTACAAAATTACTTTTTTTGTAATTCACATTCTTTAAGCAGGGAACTGAGTTGCCTCCTGCTGCCTCCCGCCACCCCAACCTGGTCCCCCCACCAGCAGCTGTGTTCTACCTGCACAAGGCCGGGGTTCCTGGATAATATTCTTAATTATCCAATTCACACCCTCATTGAGCGACAGGCCTCCCAAGAATGAAATCTGGAGAAGAACAGGGAGAGAATGGAGATGCTCAGCCCGTCTGAATGCAAGCCACCCATTGTGGTTAATCAATGCATTTCATTCAATTAAAAACATCCAAATCAGAAATGAGTAAGGCTGCTACCCATTTAAAATAAGCACTTATAAACATCCTCAAATCCAGCAGCAAATTAATCTGAACAGAAGAAAATAAAACCATCACTTTAAAGACCCAAAGGGCAGAATCACGAAGGTCAGTAGCAGCAAGATATTTTATCACTGACATTACCTACCACTCGTGAAGGCTACAATTCTCGAAACCAGAACACGGCACAGAA